CGAGTTCGCGGTCCGCGCCCTGCCAATAGGCTACTGACGCATATAAGTGAATATTTCACAGAAGTTAATAATGTCATATCTTCATACTTTTATCCATTTTATATCACATTGTTTTTAAAGACATTCTCATATTTTTGTCGCTCTTTAGACAAGCTATTTTTATACGTTTATGAATTTCAATCGCGATTTCTGTATTAATAAAAAGCGAACCCTTATAGTTTTTTTTTTGTTTTATTATTGGCTTTTAAATACCATATATTACGTCTATCAAACGAAATTACATTCCCTTGCATTATTTATCTGTAATGTTCTTTAGTCGTTTACGACCAAATGTATTTTTGCGATGATATAAACGCGGCAATAAATAGTCACAATGCATAGTAATCCCGGCAATATAAAAATAAACTTAATCGCCCCTTTCGATTCATTACCCTTCTCAGTACCTACAAGCATCAACTACGATTACGTCTTCAATACAAGAGACGCTAAATCAATACGGCGTCTATAAATTATTATTGGTCCGGCCATGCTATTTTAATATTAAGCACAGCGTACACGGCGCTTATTCCTAAGATGAATCGGTGGAGGCAATTATGCGGGGAAATAACGTCAATAGATGTGACGGTGCTGGTTTCTCTGTAGGATTCTATTAATAAATCGTATGGTATGGAGTACGTATTTTTATTCCAGTTGGATATTAAAATAGAATAATGAATTCAACATGTAAAACGTAATACTGTTGAGCGAAAACATCTTAAAATCGCACACACACACATTATAGTTAGGTGTTGTTCCGATTTTCGTTTCCTGATGTACTAGATAATTAAATTCACGGGAGCAGCTGAAATTACTCTCGTGGAGAATTAGCTCTATAAAGCCTCCTACGGCCTCCATTAGGCATAAAATAAGTTACAGGCTCACTACGTCCCACAGTTGGGCACAGGCCACCTCTCATATTTGAGTTTCATATTTTTTTTTCAGTTTACTCACGATATTCTACTTCACCGCTGGGCTAGATAATTGACTAAACTAAAATTGAATAAACTCAATATTTCAATTAACTATCTCATTGGTGCAAGTGGGGAACGAATCAGGATTGCTCGCGAATTATAAAATTTACATTAAACACTTGGCCATTTAGCTACAACGGAACTTTTGAAAATATAATTATTTTTAAAATATATAATATTATTTATTTATTTTTTGTTCTGTCATAATTTACTTATAATTTATTTATTAGTTTTAACATTGATTTCCATGACTTATTCTTTGTACGCCGTTCTTTTTCTTTTCCTGAATTCGAATAAAAGGTTTCTAAATTCAGTGTAGTGCAATATGCCTTTAACAGTTTTCGACGGAACATAAGTATCTAATCAGCACACAGATCAGCTTAATTCAACTTAATTAAACGCGCACTATACAGCTACTTACTTTAAGTTATTATAACGAGTCAGTATTAACACTTTGGCGCCGTAGTCCGTACATTTTTAACATTTTTTCCGGTATGAAAATATTCTTATGCAAATATTCCACTTCTTTTTCATTTTACTTCTTGTTAGGTTATTATTTTTAAAGGTGATAACAGTTAAACAGAAAATGACTCGACAGAGATTTTTTCCGGTATGAAAATATTCTTATGAAAATATTCCACGTCTTTTTCATTTTACTTTTTGTTAGGTTATTATTTTTAAAGGTGATAACAATTAAACAGAAAATGACTCGACAGAGATTTTTTCCGGTATGAAAATATTCCACTTCATTTTTATTTTACTTTTTGTTAGGTTATTATTTTTAAAAGTGATAACAATTAAACAGAAAATGACTCAACAGAGATTTTTTCCGGTATGAAAATATTCTTATGAAAATATTCCACTTCATTTTCATTTTACTTTTTGTTAGGTTATTATTTTTAAAGGTGATAACAATTAAACAGAAAATGACTCGACAGAGATTTTTTCCGGTATGAAAATATTCCACTTCATTTTTATTTTACTTTTTGTTAGGTTATTATTTTTAAAAGTGATAACAATTAAACAGAAAATGACTCAACAGAGATTTTTTCCGGTATGAAAATATTCTTATGAAAATATTCCACTTCTTTTTTATTTTACTTTTTGTTAGGTTATTATTTTTAAAAGTGATAACAATTAAACAGAAAATGACCCAACAGAATTTTTTTCCGGTATGAAAATATTCCACTTCTTTTTCATTTTACTTTTTATTAGGTTATTATTTTTTAAAATTAATAACAATCAAATAGAAAAAGACTCAAAGAATATGCTCTGAGTTTCATATTTATTCTATAGCATGTGAGGCGATGATCGGATTTGTGAGCCACGAGCTGCTTTATTAGCAATAGAGCTACAGCTCAGCGTCTCATAAAAATGTGATCTGCTTATTTGAACCGGCTTAGACCTGAGTCACTCACGTCTACTACTCACCGACTGTTGAGTGCGCAATACGTGCTATTAAGATTATAATTTAGAGATTCTTATAACAATAAGAATTTTAGTTTTTGGAAGAATTAAATTTTATAATATTACACTGTAAAATCTTTGAGCTCAAATAAACGACAAAGTATTTGTCGTTTGATCTATGTTGAAAATACTAATTTTTACTCTTTTCCCATGTCACTATTGTTAATAAGATTATATGGTATATAGCCATAATAAGACTAACATTATGCAAAAATATTTTTTGTCTAGAAATAAAAACCGTTCATCATCCCATTGTAATATTAATCCTTTCATTAATTTTAAGACGTGAAAATTCCATCTTTGTATTGCAGTTTCTTCTCTATTTGTATTACGCAATCAAACAAACATACAAAAGTTATTATTTAAAATGAAAACAATTTTAAATTTTTTGATTTTTTAAATAATATTCTGCTATAAGCTATAATATATTACCTATATTAATCAGTTTTTCATTATCACCCTCATATTATCATTACAGCCTAATATACTAACTTTCTCTATTGATAAATATCATACGTATACCGAAGACTGACACAGACCATGGGACTGACCTCCTACATCTGTAAGTACGGTTAAACGTCGTCATCCGTCAGGGAGTCATTTCATTTAATGAATATGCATCACATCATGAGACATCTTACCGATGTGGGATTTCTCCTCGGATGTCTTTCCACGTCATTGGATGGTTCTACGAGTTATACACAGAAATCTATAATTTTAATATTAATTTTAACGAAATACAACAAAACTATGATATCTCAAAAGTAATGCCTTCTTTTGTGTTTTGTTTAAAAAAAAGTTACAGCCTATATACACGTCCCACTGCTGGGCACAGGCCTCCCCTCATTTCTGAGAGGGTCCGCCAAAGAAATGTCCGCCACACTGCCCCAATGCGTGTTGGCAAACTTCACATCTCTTCGAACTTTCTTTTTTCTTATTTCTCAGACATGCAGGTTTCCTCACGATGTTTTCCTTCACCGCCGAGCACGTGGTAAATCAGCGCTTAAAATTGCAATTAACAGTTTCATTGGTGCCGGCGGGCATCGAACCCGGTTTGCTCGCATATTGTGAAATTTAAAGCAAGCGCTAACCATCTGAGCTAGCACGGCTCTTTTGTGTGTTTTGTTTATTTACAATTGTATAAAAAATTTTATAATTTAATTATAAAACTGAAGTGACAAACGAGTCCACCTAATGGATGATGGAGGCTTGCAACTCATAGACAGGATACGTTGTCAATTTTGAGGTTTAATATGGGATACCTCACAGCCTGTAATCACACTAACTCTCTATACCCTTTAGGCCACAGCAGTGCAAGCAGCAAGCACTGCTGCTTGGCGGAAAAATAAGGCAAGAGGGTGCTACCTATCTAGACGTACTCTTAGTTAGAAAATAAGTCTTACCACCTATTATAAAATCGTGATTATACTAAAAAGTTACTGTCTTTTTTTTTCAGAGTAAAAGCAGTGGACAGTGAACCGGGATCTGGTTCGGACAGCGTACTCAAAACAGATTCCGACGAAGACTTTGATTAATTTTGTAAAAGCTGTATTATGAATGAATATATTTTTGAGCTTGTGGACTTATCATGACTACATACACCTTAATTCGACCTTATTAACTGTGAACTTTTATATATTCAATTAGTTCTGTTGCACCTATTTTTTTATCACAAATGTGATCGAATTAGAACTCATTCAATGTCATGATTCAACAAGAGTATAAAAATTTCTAACAGGTAAACGCATTTATATTACTTTATTATCTAAATATTTCATTTTGACGGTAACATTGTGTGCATTGTATAACATCTCCTCAACTGTACTTACTTCTTAGGTCGATATTATGTCAATGATTTTTTGGCTTTTTAAAACAGTACGGCACACAAGCATAAAGTAATTAAGTGAATATAATATGCTTACTTGTAACATTTTCAATTTCAATTGAAAATTAATCATCGAGCTGAAATTACTTTATAATTGGATTCATCAAGAAACGTTTAATTTTGTTTTGACCTAAAACTCACTTGCATAATATTCTTTTTATTTTTAGAAATTCCTTTGTTATTATTAAACTTGACACAGAGGAATTAAGATCTACTTCTCATCCTGTTTTGCGTTACGAGTATATAAATTAATTTGATGTGAATTTTGAGCACCGTTCATTAAATAAAGTTATTTATGATATGTAATCTACGAATTACTTTTATTTTTAATGATTTCCTCGATGTAAAATAGCACTGCAGTTTTAAGGTTTCATATTTTACTTAGATTTTTTCCATGGTAGGGAAGAACCCTGCAGTCACATAATTTCTTCCATAGTAAAAATTATACATATATACGAAATGGGAGCTAATTTATTCTCAATTTTATACTTAATCAATGACATTATCAAATCAAATAGGTTGGATCTGAAATCAAACGGTTGCATTTGTATTTACTTCAACTATTTAGATTTGCAGCGAGGTGTACTACAGGATGACGTTATATCCCGGAAACTCTTCACCGCTTCGTTGGAAAACGTTTTCAAGCTACTGGACTGGAAAGGATACGGTATTAACATCAATGGCGAGTACATCACTTACCTTTGTATTTGCTCCGTGCTCTCAACAAGTTTTCACACGCCTTAGCGTAGAAAATGATCTCTCTGATGTCGCACCGCTTATAGGAAGAGTTGCCAGAATTTTCAGCAAAGTATTTATTTTTACAACGTGGTAGAGCCATGCTGCAGCTATATTATGGTTGTAGCACGAATGGGTCGGCTCAACCGGGGAAGGACCACGCTCTCACAGAAAACCAGCGTAAAATAGCAGCTTAACGCTGCTGTGTTTCGTATGGTGAGTGTAGAGATCCGGAGACCCTTTTTACTGGCAAAGAGGCATTCCATCTTAGTCCTCACGGGTGACAACGCATCTGCATCTTGAATCTTTATTGAGGATAGATGTAGATGTCTATGGGTCACAGTAACCACTTACCATCAGGTGGACTGTGTGCTCGTTTGTCACCCGATCCTATAAAAAAAAAATAGGGTAGAGACCCTATTCTATATAAAAAAAGAGATCACGTCCCCTGTGACCGTCAAACATGGACAAAACAAAGATCAAGTGTAGCGTAGACGTATCATGGGGTCTGTTTCGCGAAACTCTATATTTCTTCCTTGTTCACCCTTGTTCCGTTTTCCGTGATCAGCAAAGAAAACAAGACATATGTCCTCTTTTCTTTTTCCAAGTGTTTGATATAAGAGTTTAGTGAACGTGGCCGTATACTGGTGGTAAGATGGGATCCAACATGATATGTTGTTGGGAGTACTAAGCTCGAAGTTGTTGACGAGGATGTTTACATGGGACATAAGTCTGACTAGATAAGTCCAATTTCGGCGGAGAGATCAATCGTCGGATTCAACTCGGCTGGGGTTCGGGAAATTAGGATATATCTTCTAGCCAGGTATACCTCAAAACTTAAAAACGAAATTGTACAACCAGTGCGTGTTGCCAGTGATGACTTATGACGTGGACCTTCACTGCTGACCGTATAAGGAACCTCAAAGTCGCTCAGCGACCTACGTTCTGGAGTTGCAGCATCGTACCGGTAGACCAAGTGTAGGGTGAAACCCCACTAGATGGAATGACGAACTGGTAAGACATGCAGGAAGTCGATGGATACGGGTGGCTCAGGACAGTGCTTTGTGACATTCCTTGGGGGAGGCCTATGTTCAATGGTGGACTTGTGAAGGACTGTAATGATGATTATGATGATTTAGATTACTTTTAATTTTGCTAAAGAAGCCGTTGTTCATTTATAGAATTGTAAAAAAATTAAATATGCATTATAAAACTTGTCAATTAGATGGTGTTAGAAGCGAAAAAAATATTAATTTGACTTGACAGTTATTCTAAGCTTTGTCGTGAAGCGACAATAAAGAACAAAAAGAATCTAACCTAAGAACAACAAAAATACAACAAAAACAAAAAATATATTTAAGATTCAAAGATATTTACAATTTTATACAAAAATGGAGTATGAATATGAGGATGGATGATGCGATTTACAGATTATTTAAAAAAAGTAATAAAAAAAGAGAGATTAGTGCCGAAGCTGAGTCTGAAGATCCAAGGTGTGCTCTCAGCGCCTGGAACGAGCACGCACGGCGTAGGTGAGAAGGCGTGGGCGTCTCTAGGCGACGACCTCCGGTGAATGTGGTAATTGCAGGATCCGGCGATTTCAGGCCAGAGAGGGGCTTGCAGGATCCTCAGCGGCTTCAGACAACACAGAAGCCTGCAGGATCCGGTGACTGCAGGCGGGACAGAGGTTTGCAGGTTCCGGTGACTTCAGGCGGAACTGAGGTTTGCAGGTTCCGGCGACTCCAGGTAGAGCAGAGACTTGTAGGATCCCGGCGACTTCAGGCAGAGAAACGGTTTGTAGAGTCCAGCGACTTCAGGTAGAGCAGAGGTTCGTAGAGTCCAGTGGCTTCCGGCAGGACAGAGGCTTGCAGGATCCCGGGGCAGTGCGGCCCCGGGATAAGGCCTTTAGGAGATGCTTCCAATTCGAGAACTGAAGCGAGACTCCTTTCTTCACCGATTGTTCGGCTTTTATACCTTTCTAGAGAGAACGGAAAAATTATTTAAAATAAACGTAAATATTTTGTAAATGGTCAAGAGAAAAGAGTATTTATGTGGAATTATCGAAATAGTAACAACAGACCGGTAGCAAATTTGAATATAATTGCTATGGAGACCAAATAAACAACAATGTCAAAACATGTCAAATTTTGGTTTTAGGCTTGTAATAAGAAAACGGCAAGATTTAAGTGGAAAATGAGATATTATTGATATAGGAAAAAAGGTAGCGCAACTGCCCACACAAAGCCCGAGATTGTAGAGTTACGGAAAACTAACTAAAAGATCGAAAAAAGGTAGACTCCATTGACACCAATTTAAAAGTGCTGATAATGTGGAAATACGAAGTAAAAATGATTTGTTATTGTGTTCTTATGGTTTAGAATCGTTACAGGATCCTATGGAAATAAAGGTGATGTAAAATATCCAGTTTTGAGGTGAATGCAGAAAATCGAAACAGAATGGAAAAATGAATTTAAAATAATGTAAAATGATATGTAAGTAGCATAACACTACAGCTTATAGCTATATGCGATTGCAGTTTCTTGTTTCCGCCTATAGTTACGTCTCTTTTCTCTATATATCTCTCTTTTTTACCACCACCATTCGTGTGGCGAGTTGACAAGCGGAGCGCATATTTTTTTAACCTTAATTGGCGTTTAAGTTCCCGCTGCGGAAGCAAGTGCAAAAAGTGTTCCTGTGTTTCACTAATAATCTTACTGAAGTAAAAAAGTATTAGTATAGCGTGTACACGTGTTCCTCAATAATTATTACAACACACAGAGGTACGTAACATATATAGCAATTAATTATTTATATTGCTCAGTTTACACCGAACACATTATGTACGCGTAGGCATTTTACTTTAAAGTTTTTATTTGAGCCAGTACATGTACGGACGCCAACAAGGTCTCATGTGCTAACATACCTAACATTTGTAAACATTATAACAATAAACATTTTGTGCATAAACAGTGTTTTAAGTAACATTTACATCAAAAGGTGTTGAATACCACAACATCTTTTGGTCCTTCGAGCCGGATATATTTTAATACAAAATTTTAAATGTACGTATGTATGTAAATGGTTAGAGAAATTTAATTTTACAAATATACCCACTTTTAACAATTTTAATTTATCGGTTTTACCGTTCGTAGTGCATTTAATTAATACATTAATTTTAGATAATAGAAGAAATGCCCGTTAACAACAATGATCCTTCGCCGTCGAAGAATCAAAGATTACGATACATTAATCTCTAGTAGCAGCAGTTCTAACATCTCCTCGGCTGCTTCGATTTCTGACTCCAGGAAAAGAAAGCGACGGCATCGCCGCTAAAAGAAAAGAGGGAGCAAAAGATCACGTTCAACCCGTAAGCTTGATGATTTATCGAGACAAATACATAACCTTCGAAAGAAAATAACGGCTATATTTCTGATACTCGTATAAGTTGAGAGCTTTATGGCGAATAAGGTATTAATTCACCGATCGTAACACCCTCCTCACAGTGTTAATTCCGATCAAAATTTATTTAGCCTAGTTATAACTATTAAATTAAAAGAACCTTCAGTTCCTAAGACGCCACAAGAGTATTTAAAGCAACTACTTGACATGCAATTACTTATTAATGTTAGCTAGTGTGACTTAAGGTACGCTGATACTAAAAAAACCCTAGATATGTTGATCTGGAACCAAATGAGGAGATTATGGCTTACGATTCACTTCGTAATCTAGCTCATGATGATAAGGCGTATGCAGCTTTAACCTTTTGTTTTCTCAAACAGAGAGAATCATTACAAAGAACCTTGAGTGAACTTTTGGCCTGGTCGCAGTTAGAACAAACGATTTCTTTTGATTCGCTATCAGATAGTCTCCTCATTGTTTTCTGAAGGTGAATTGCACAAAATACGTAAGATTTGGCTCAGCTTATATGCAGTCACCGTGCAGAAATATTGCAAATGCGCAGGGATGGT